AGCTATATTTGAATATCGCTGTCAAAATTTCAACAAATGTGAATCTATTTCAATTTTAACAAAGCTCTGTCTGAGCTATTCCTTAATCACTTCAAAATTCTATTACGAAACAATTCACAAAATTAATCAAATTTGGGAGTAGCACAAAAAGCCCATACAGCATCTTGCCAGAAGCGACACAGATAATGAGCAACAGTCAAAATGAAAGCCAAAGGGTAAAACGGAAGTAGCTGATACAAAATTATGATAACATCTAATAAAAGAAACCCAACAGAAAGTGATACCCTTCCCAAGTATCGATTTCTTGTTTTAGAAAAAAAAAGAAAAGAAAAAAAAACTCTTCCCACCACATATTTAGTAACAGAACAAAGTTTGCCACAGAAGCAAGGAGTGGGGATGTGAACTTGTCTATGGGATCTTACGACACCCTTAAAACAAATATCTCAACTTTAAGTTAATGTGATGTGGATAAACAACTTATACATAGGACTTCTGTACTTTTTAGAGATGAAATGAAATTGGTTTTGAAGACTGGCGGAAAAATGGGCATTCCAAAGAGTGAAGTTTGGTTAGTCAGTGGACATGGATTCACTTCTCATTTAATATGATGACATGCCACTGTTCTATGTCCATTTATGTATTTATATTATAAACAGCAGAAGCATTTAATTATTATAATTCATCTTATTCATAGCTTTGAAATTTTTTTAGTGAGAAGAGCAAATATAATAGAAATGGTGTTTGTTTTCATCATAAAAAAATACTAGTTCAAATACAGAGATCAAAATCATAGCCAAAGCTGCCAACATGCTTTGTATAAATATCTCTACAAAATGAAATTGAGGTTTAATTTAAAACATAAATTTTGTGTATTGCACAGCAAGGATCAAGAAATATTTCTGACAGTCTTCCAAATCAAGTGCCTCAAATACACCAAGTTTTGGAGTAATATTTTCTAGAAATAGTAATATTTTCTAGAAATAGGTTGTACAAGGAAAATAAGTCTAGCTTTGGACAGTTAGGACACAAATGAACTGTATGTTCACTTCCCCTTATTACAGTTATACTTTAATGCATGAATGAAGCCAATCCAAACGTTATTACAACACAAAGCAAATAGTATGACTACAGAATAATTCTTCCTCACATAGACTTATTTGTATTCATACTGAGTTTGGTCAGAAAGCTAGCACTCAAGAGTACAAAAAAAAAAAAAAAATAAAAATAAAAAAAAATAAAATAAAAAAAAGCCCTTTTTTTGATGCAGTCATTTCAAATACATTGAAATAAAATAAAAATAAATAAATACATGAACACTTGTATCAGTGACTAAAAGTCTAATAATCAGAAAACTTAAGTTTTAATGAAGTCGGAATACTGCTTCTACATTCCTTATGATATAGCACAATCAGTATGCAGCCCTGCTAACACATTCTTGAATACACAGAACATGCATGTGTATGTGTCTGTGTGTGTGTGCGCGCACGCATGTGCTTGCACGTGCATGATTACACCCCCCCCCCAAAAAAAAACCAACTATAAATAAATAATTAATATAACAAAACATAAAAAAAACTTTAATTAATGAAATAAATAGAAAACACAATAAGGTAAGGGATCAAAGGCTGGCTATCTTGCGAAAAAATTGGCTAAAATGGAAGACGAATATGAAAACTTACTGTTTTGGCAACATATCCCATTGGCTCGGGATACTGATGTGTGAGTAATGCAAGGAGCGCAGTAAATGAACACAGCCCCGCAGTAAATAGGATGAAGAAAGGGAGTTCCTTCTTTGGGTAGACAGAAACATCATGGAAAGCTGGAAGACATACATAGACCATTTAAAACAATGGCACTCTTTGTTTAAGGCTTGGTTTTTGATTTTTTATGACAAACTTCTTTGTAATTTTTCCATGTTAGGTGAAAATCATTTTGGTTTTGTGAATCTTCAAATACAAGGAACCGTCTCTCAAATGACTGACAAAAAGTGCATGGAAGTACACATTTATATATGTGTGTGTGTGTGTGTGTGTGTGTGTGTGTGTGAGCACATTCATGCAAGCGCATATAGATCTACATGTTATTTCTTACCTGGCAGTAGTTCCTTATCTGCATTCTCTGTGCAGGGAGGGTAGGGATAAAACAGGTGGCCTTTTTCTAGTGGGTACGGAATCATACGGAAAGCTGAAAATTGAAAAAGTAAGCTTTTACAACTGGAATTCTACCAAGATTCAAAGGGAAAGCTGGCACATACAGTGACTTTGAAATGTTTGGTCACTAAATGCTATTATTTTAGAACTGCTATTTGCTTTTTACTGCTATTTTAGCCGAACTTTTGGGGAAGCAAACAAATTAAATAATTACATTCAATTCTTTATTCATTAAAAGACATGAATGACTTTGGTGTGGTAAGTAGGTCTCTTTTGATTCATTCTTGGTACACAACTTCAAATATGAAATACCCTATTCTGTATGAAACAAATGAAAAGGAAAATCTACGAAGTAAGACTGATCATTGAATTAGAGCAGCAGTTCAGATTAAGGTGACACACTTTTGCCTTGAATTCTTTTGCAAAATTGACCCCCCCCGAGTACAACTTACTCCCTTCCCATGTACAGTGTAGCAGATTCAGGGCCCCTTCCACCCTCTTCCAGTGCTGGAGGTGGAAAAAACTGTACGCGACTGCCTCGCTGTCTCCCCGCTTGAGAATATGCTCCGGAGGCAAGACAAGACTCTTCATCTCTAGTAAATATTTTGGCACATGTGGGTTAAACTCCACTGCTCTGTGTATGGCTTCCACTGCATTCATCTCCGCCGTACTCAGCCCGCGCTTGGACGCTATGTCGGGAGAAAATCTGAGGACAGAAAGAAAGACCATTAAAATTTTATTAAAGGACTATTCAACATCTTCCATTACTTAGCATATTATTAACAATTACATTATTTTATTTTTCTAAAAGACAGAAAGAATGATTAATAAAATTTTCAAGGTATTATTCAACATCTTCCATAGCTTTATGTTATCATTAGTTACATTATTTCATCTTCCTAAAAGACACAAAGAATGACTGACAAAATTTTCTAGGTCTAATTCAACATCTTCCATTATTTTAAGTACACAGTAACACAGCTAATGCACTTTCCTTCTAACTATACATTCTCAAACTATATAGAGTATGCATACTGTTAAAAGCAATCTAGCTACAAATAAGATAATTGGTTACTTGGCAACAAGATATGTGGAGTGCTGTTAAGTGTATGAAGTACCAGGGGTCTCCATCAACTGTGGATATAAACTTCATTCAACAAAGGGTCATCACATGAAAATCTAATTAGAACTCACTTGTCTGCCACTTGTCGTGCTTTGAGCAGAGCAGCTGTGTAACATATTGTGGCTGACTTGGGCAAGCTTATATCTGAAAATTACAAGTCATAGATATTAACCAATATGGTAATTACTCGATCTTTTCAATTGGCAAAAATTGCCTAACTTTCAGACACATAATTACACACCAGTGAACAAGTCCAGTGACATTACACACCTCTTCTATTTAATCAGGTACATCAGAAAAATAACATTTTGCCTACATAATGTGTATTGTGTTTGTGCCTGACTTACCATCATACTTAGCTAAAACTGCCTGCACATCCGTATAGGCCTGCATTTCTAACAGAGCTTCTATCAGATTCTCATGGATATTGTACAGGTTAAACATAGGAAAGTCTTTCATCAGCTAAAATAGAAGGGTATCACAATTGTTATTTTTCATTTTCTTATTTTTTTATAAAATAATTATATTCAGTATTTATCTATGACTAACTAATATCTAAATAACCTTAAAAACAACAATAATATAATTAAACAAAAACTTCAAGACATACACAACACACTAGACCTAAATAAAGCAGTAAAATTATCTATAAAATTCTTAATAAAGGTGTGATACTTATCGTGGGACTTGATCAAAACATCAAGTAATTTTACTGTTTATTCATATTTTACGATAATTAATAAAGACAAGAATTAACCACTGATGAAACCCAAATATCTATATTTATACAGTATGTCACAGCAAATAACACTTATATCACATATAGAATGCAAAATCTTCACCAGAGCTTGAAAAGCAGGTCAAACCCCCCCTTGGGGGATACGATGCCCTTATCAGTGAAACGATAAGGTTCTGTGATAACTGACAGTCCATGAACAGAATTGATTCAGCAGTCACCTTTCATTCAATTTTCAGTTCTCACATTCTAGACAAAACTTAATGAACTTACATCTTTCATCATCTTGACGGCCTCTCTGGTTCTCCCCAGCTTCCGCGCGCACATGGAGAGACGACGCTTGATGTAGATCATCACATTGGTGTCTCGCCCTGAGAGGAAATCAAGGTCACTTCTTATGGTACCCAATATTACGTTTTTCTTTTGGTACAGACTAAACTTTTTTTCAGCATTTGTCTAGTTGGGCATGGACTGATAGGCTTAAATTATTGCTAAAAATAAGGATTAACCAAAAATTTTCTACGGTTTGTCAAAACAATTGCCCTGCAAGCCTGTCAAAGCATCTAAGTATATTTTACCTAGAAAAGCTCTCACTGAGTGCAGATCTCCACCAAGACAATTAACCCATAATAAACCATTAATTAATTGACTAAGGGATCATCACCAAAATCTAAACACTTAAAAGTTATCCCAATTGTGACCCATCCTGGACATTTAATCAAAATCCATAATGTTTTGAGTTAGGCTGGTGACGAACAAAAGGACAGATGGAGATGAAAGGATAACCTCTATGGCAGAGGTAATAACACACACACACACACACATACACACACATACACACACACACATACACACACACATACATACACACACATGAGATTTAAGCCAGTCTTACTGTGATTCTGTTCATACTGTGTCCCATAGTGCTGTGTCTGTTGACTCTTCCTGTACTGTGTCTCTGCAGCTTTATAGGCCTGTTTAAACATCTTCTCCACCTAGAAAGAAGAAAATATGAACCAACATTTAAAAAACAAGTATTTGGAAGCAGGAAAAAAAAATCTAGATATCTTTATTACAACTGGTGCAAAAAACACTGCAGGAAATGCAAAAAATATTTCACTTTGGCTGTAGAAAATATGCATAATGTTATTATATTATTTTCATAGATTTTCATATTTGTTTTAATTTCACTGGTGTTCTTGGCTAAATGCGCTAAGGCATTTGACTGAAAAGAAAAAGCAGGATTGATATCCTCTCACTGCCAATACTTACTTCTAGTATAGTGCTGCATTCTTCTTCTGCTAATAAAATCATTGCTGGGGCACAACTGCAATTGAAAATAAACAACGTAATACACAACCAGAGATTCATTCCATTTCTAAAAGAATACAATTCCATTATCTCTGCATTAATACTAATTTATTTGGACTTACTTCTAATTTAATATGTGATTTCAGTGGCACATATTACAATTATCATAAGTGTATGAAGAGTAAAAAAAAAAATTAATAACAAAGGTGTTTTCAGAAAACATAACAGAGCTCTTTGAATAAACATATTTTCTTCTCCGACCTGTCTTCAATGGAATCATTCATCATCCATACACAATGCATCTCCTTACTGGCAAAGGACATTAGCACTACATTGTAACCCAAGTTGTCAACTCGTTTAGCTAAATGCCAAATGTTTATGACATGCTATGTAAAATGACTTCCTAAAAGGTCTCACGTCAGCAAATATGAATACATGCCTCAAGATACCAGAGCTAAATATTCCTTTTCAGGAAAATAATTATTACACCTACTCTGGGTTTTTCTCCAAGGCTTCCTTGGCTGCCTTCACCCTTGCTTGTGGACTTCTTTCTCTCCATGCCATCTGCATAACTGAGAAATAATGAAAGAAAACTTGATACATTTTCTTAATTTCAAAACAGAAAATAAGGCTGTGTGTGTACAGATACACTTTAACGACCAATCTTTCATTTTACCTACTTCAAAACATAAAAAGTAGAACATATTTAGGTACAAAATTAGCACAGTGATTTGATCACTTTTCCAATACAATAAAATTAAGTTACAAACTGAACAAAAAATTCTTGATTCAGCATTTCTTCTATCTGCTAATCCCTTCCAGTGTTCTCTTTATATTCCACCCATCCACGAATCCATCTGCATTCACACAATTGCCTCCATCTCTCACGTCATCACGCTCTCCAGCACTTACCTTCATATTCCTGTTTTCCTGCGTCCGTGTCGCAGGTGAAAAATGTCTGATGATCTTGAGCGGAGAGATTCATGTCGTAGTAGGTGAGTGGTTCTTTGCCAGTGGCCCACGTGAACCTCTGATACTCTGAACCGCGGAACAGATTCAGTGGGTTTCGCCATACTTTACACTCTGTAATAAAATAAAATACAATATAACATAAAAACTGGAAGTCACAATCACTGGAGTAAAAGTAACTAGAAAAGCACCCATGGAGGTCAAACCTCCACCTAGGCAGTTTAATTCTCATATTTTGTCATTATTTTATCTAGTCATTATTAATTAATCAATTCTATGCTAGCCCATTTCTGACTGATCCTGTAAATTTTATCAAAATCTGTTCAAAACTTTGTTGCAAGTTGGTGTATTTAAAAATCTATATAAAATGTTTAAAAAATATTTCTTAAAATCTTGTGTAAGCTCCATGTTACTGGGAATTAAGATCAAGTGCATTAATGTTATAAGTTGATATTTAATATATCTATCATATGTACATAAAATGTTTGTTGAGTGTCATTGTCAAATGCTGTAGTTCTTATTTAATTATCATAGTCATGAAAAAGTAGACCAAAACAATTGGCAGTTATGGTTGCCCTTTACATATCATAAACCTGCATCCAGACACATCTCAAGTGCTATATCAATACCTTTGAACTTGATAAAATAGACTTTTCAAATTTGTGAATGTTTAAAACTGCCTGATGTCAAATTTTCCAAAAAAAAAAAAAAAAA